AAAAAAATTTGTTTGCTTTGTTTTACCTCTATTTTATCTGTGTTTTCTATTTCATTCATCTCTACTCTTAATCTTTATTTTCATATATTTTCCTTGGGGTTATTCTGTTGCTCTAACTTCTTAACTTTTCAGCCCTTCTTCTTCCCTAATGGAATCATTTAAAACTATAAATGTCCCTCTAGGTATATTCTTCCAGCAGTTTTGTTTGTTTGTTTAATTGTGGTAAAAAACACATAACCTAAAAATTGACTGTCTTAACCATACATAAGTGCACAGTTCAATAGCATTAAGTATATTCGTTGTTGTGAAACAAGTTTCCAGGATCCTTAAATTCTGATATGTAACATTTTTATTACCATTCAGTTCGTTGTATTTTCTAATTTCCATTGAGATTTCTTCTTTGGCACATGAATCATTTAGAAGGGTTTACAAATTTCCATATATATGGAAGTTTAAAGTGACCTTTAGGTATTGATTTCTGGCTCTCGGAATTGTCATGTTGAAGTTTTCACTTTCCTCATCTTCTTGCTTCATGCACACCTGCTGTCCTTCGCTATAAGATCTCTGGACCAAAGCTAGAAGACACTATGCTATTAACATTTGTCAGATGTTTTTGCTGTGTTAATAATGACACAGACTGCATTTTAGAGCCACCAAATAGCCAGGGGTATTGCCCCCACCCCCACCCCCTCTACCCAAATGCCAGGTTTTACCTGACATTCTAAAATTCTTTTTCATCTTTAGAAAGCCTCTTAGTTTTCTGTCTCCAAGTCAGCAGGGAAGTCAGGGAGCGACACCACTTCGTCCACCTCTCTCTCCTCTTTATACCAGTGTTTTGGGGTCTGAGGTGGTTACCATTCAAAGCTAAGTTAGTGTAGAACTTACCAGTAATGTAGGCTAGACTGACAACTAATATCAAGGATAATTGAGGGCTATCAGTGACTATCAGCCCGTTTCCCTATTACATTAGTTCTATACAAAGCAAGTAAAATTAATTGAAAGAACCACCATCGCCATGAACTACAACCATTACCATATCTTTGTCACACCTCATGTAACAAGTCTTTTAGACTGACCATGTCTTAGACTTGAAAATGGAGCTTATGGTATCAGTTTAGGAACAGAACTGTTTACTTAAAGCAGGCAGTTAACAGAAGTACAGTCATTTTTGACAAATGAGTCAGGATCCCAAATGTGCTACATCCTTTAGCCAACTGATTACTATGAGCTTTAAAGAGCAGCCTTATTACTGTTCCAGGCCCACAAGGAAAAGTTCTATTGAGGAAGAGCATCAGATCTGGAGTCCTAATCCTGGCCCTCTTGCCACCTAGCAGTATGGCTGCGGGCAAGTTATTTGACCTCTGGGCCTCAGTCTTTTCCTGTAAAAGTACAGTGTAGTCCGTGATGGCGCCAAGATTTGACATGTCAGCCTTGTTTGCAGGCAGCATGTAAACTCCTTTGTCCTCCTGGCAGAGTCTGCATCTGAGGTCCTGTGGTGCTGCTGGCACCTTCGTGTCATTAGGTGTGGTTCCAGACCTTCAGAATCTGTGGCTCTTCTACTTCTTCTGGATTGGACCTTTTTGCCTGTTTTTCTTTTTTTGTACCTCTTTGAATAAGCTTTTTGCTTTTCTACTTTTTACGTATGATGTATCACATTAATATCTTAAAACTTTTCAGCCTCTATTTCTGCTGTGATAGGCCAGGAAACATCCCTTTTTCTTAGTATAACAAGGTTCCAAAACGAATTTTCCAAAAGAAAATATTTCATTCTAGCATGGAAGAGATCAATTCCAAATATTTGGGGAGGAATATTTGAACGATGGGAGGAAGAATTTGAGTACAGATAGGTGAAGTGCCCATCAAGTGGTTATAGGTTTGCTTTTTCTTCTATTTTAACATATTTTTGCCTTCTACAGCGAACTCTAGTTGGCCTAGTAAGAGACCTGAGAGGGATAGCTTTCGCCTTCAATGCCAAGACCAGCTTCATGATGCTATTTGAATGGATGTATCCTAACACATATCACAGCAAGGCTTAACTGAAGTGTGACTGGATGATGGAGTTATTGGGGAAGGAGTGGGTGGCCGGGGGTGGTGAGGAGTGGTGGGGCTTCAAAGAAGGTGAAGAGTTACCCAGAAGGCCCGCCGTATGTCTTGTAAGCTGCCATCCCATAGTGGTCTAAAGACATAGTGCTGCCTGCCCTGGTCACCGAGACCGAGAAATAAATGAGGTGGTTTCCCAGCTTCTCTTCTGGGTCCCAGATACAAATGCCTGTGAAACTAGACCACTGTGGAACGGTTACACATGAGGTTTGCTACACTTGGAAAAGAAAGACATCGCAATCTACTAAAAAAAGAGCTATACTAGGAATTAGAAAGTCTAATCTTACTGACTTTATAACCTTGAACAAATTTCAAATCTGAGTGCCTCTGTTTCTCCAGTAGTTACGTAACAGAAGTAGCTGATTCCCTGTCATGTCACAGAAATGGTAAGGGGTAAATAACAGTATGAAATACATTGTGCTCTTCAGAAGAAAGGCATTATATTGGGTTGTCGGAAAAGTGACGTATTTTTTCTATGTTTTTCATTGCAAAAATGTGTAACAACTTTTCTAACAACCCAATATAAATTACAGTGTATTAGTAGATGCCTGTTACAAGTTGAAGGATACACAATCACTTTAGCACCTTATGTTTAGAAAGACTCTAAGATTAGCAAGCAAGAGACAGGAAATTAGAAAACTAGAATTTGACAGCTTGTGCTTGGCCAGTGCAGAGAATTATTTTAAATTCTGTACCTTTCTGGATTCAGAATTCTTCCTTAGCTTTTCATTTGCAGATATCCATCCTACATGCCAATTCTCCAGCGGGCGATTGAGCTGTGGTACCATGATCCAGCCTGTACCACTCCTGTGCTCAAGCTGATGGCTGAATTAGTTCATAATAGGTAAGCAGGAAGAAGATTTCAAAGGGCAGAACTGCCCCTCTATCTGAGACAGCCCTAGGATAATTTGCCTTATCTAGTGTTTTGGGCAGATTGTGGAAGATAGTAAGGTTCACTGCTATCAAAATTTGAAAACTCCTAGAAGTTTATGTATGTTTTTGTTTGAAAGAAGGGTGTCCCAACCACACAAAGCCATACCTGCTTGCAGGAAATTAGTTACTTTGAAAAGAGTTTCAAGGTATATACATTCTTGTAAGAAGTGACTTTAGCAACCAAGATTCTAATTTCCCTGCCCATATATGTAAAAGTTAACATTTGCTAATGACGCCTTGTCCATCACATTTCATAGAGACAATTGAGAGTGATATAGGACACATTAGAATACCCTTTCTTAAAAAGGGTATTTGTTAGACAAATTGCAGCAGGATCGATAAAGATTTACTTAAAAGGAGAACGATTTGCCCAACAATTTAGGGAGAGAGAAAAAGGAAAATCTAGCACCTTAACTTCACTAGAATTTTAGGTGTGTGTGTCTATCCGCCTCTCGAGGCATTGCTGAGAAAATAATTTTTAAAACTACCTTAGGGAAGGAGGGGGTAACATTCAAAAAAGCTATAGCTTCCCACAAGGCCCATAGTCACGAGTTAATTCATTTATAAAATACATACCTGAGAACATCTACTCTTTGCAGTTTCTTAGCCATTGTGCCAGATAAAACCTCTGCCCTCTTAGATGTTACATTTTGGGGGGATGACAGACAGTAAAACAAGTATGGACAATCATCTCAAGACAGTGGTAGGGACTATGAAAAAATTAAGGTTATAAAACGGGCACTGAAGGACATGAGGGTCAGAGAAGGCCTCTCAGAGTAGGTGATACTTAAGCTGAGATCTGAAGGATAAAGGATGCTGGTGGCCCTACAGAGAGAAGGGGGAAGCGCATTCTAAATAGAAAACAACTGCAAACGTCGTATAGGGGGTGAGCTTGCTGGTACTTGAGACAAAAATGCCACTGGCAGGAGCATGGAGAATGGGGCAGGCCATGGTGGGTGGGGTCAAGCAGGTGGGCAGGGGCCAGACCGCACAGCGACCTGGTACAGCAAGAGCACAGAATGGGTATGTGTGCCCGTTACAGCGGGAAGCTGCTGGAGCATTTGAAGCAAGGGGTTAAAGTGATCTCATTTACATTATTTAAAGGTATAATTCTAGCTGCCACATGAGAAATGGGACTGCAGGGGGCAAGAGTGGAAGCAGGGGAAGTGGATGGATTTGGGGCATATTGTAGCACTAGGTCTTGATGGAGTCAGGATGGGGAGGGAAGAAAAGAAGACTCAAGAAGGATGCCTGCGTGTGAGGCCTTCCAACTAGAGTCAGTGAAGCTCATTAAAAAGTAGAGCAAACCCAAGAAACGTTGCTCGGGTCTGGGGAACAGTCAGAATTCAAAACTCGGGTTGTTTGAAATGGTTGCCTTCCCTGCCTGACTTGTGTCATAGCATTTCCAGGCCCTTTGCATTTTCCCTTAGAAAGTGGTAACCATGCTCACACCTCTCCCTCAGTGGCCACTGAAGCTGTAAAGGTAAATGTAGGTTAATGTCTAAAGGCTGTGAGTTGGTACTACCAAGAAGTGTTGGTGGTAGAAGCTCTGCTTTCATCAAATAAAATTCAGAAATTTAAGAGAATAATTTTATCTGCTGCCTCATTTTTTGTGTCCTTTAAATGTGCTCATTTCGTGAGCAGCAGAACTTGAATCCAGCATGTTGATCTTCAAGATATAAGCAGTATCACTGGTTAGATAGCTTTGACTTACTTGGTCATTTCACATTAGGGTAGGTAATCGGCACATGTTAGTGCAAAAAGAAGCGCCCATGGTGCCCAGAGGAGAGCCTGGCGCACCATCGTCCAGCAGCGTACGTCTGACTCTGTGTTCTCTACTCAGATCCCAGCGACTCCAGTTTGATGTCTCTTCCCCCAATGGCATCTTACTCTTCAGAGAAACCAGCAAGATGATAACAATGTATGGTGAGTGCTTAGGGGAGCATCCTCCTGAAAGTGAAACCCAGCTCCGTCGCCACACTGTGCAGTAGCCCGGACGGCACTGCCAAGAGCGCCAGGTTGCTCATATGTCTGTCTTACAGTGTCACCTGGCTCCAAGGGCCTTTGGGTAGGAGGGTTGCGTTGGTATATAAAGTATCAATTATAATGTGGTTGAGTAAAGATATTATATCACGTCTACTCAGGCAATCGCATCCTGACACTAGGAGAGGTCCCAAAGGATCAAGTCTATGCACTGAAGCTCAAGGGCATCTCCATCTGCTTCTCCATGCTGAAAGCTGCTCTCAGTGGGAGTTACGTCAACTTCGGAGTCTTCCGTCTCTATGGAGACGATGCCCTGGACAACGCTCTCCAGACCTTCATCAAGCTGCTCCTCTCTATTCCCCACAGTGATCTCCTGGTAAGCCTTACGCTTCACCAACAGGCTCCGAGCCCCTCGTCATGGTCAGTCTTTTCTTGGCCTGAGACCATGATCGAATGCTTCTCTGGAGAACTCTACGCTAGCTCCCACTGGGTCTTTTGTTTTACCATCTGGAGGGAACTAAGCTGATGGTGGTCCTCCTGTTCGTCCCTTCACAGGATTACCCCAAACTCAGCCAGTCTTACTACTCACTACTGGAAGTCCTGACCCAGGACCACATGAACTTTATTGCAAGCCTGGAACCTCACGTCATCATGTATATTCTCTCTTCCATATCTGAAGGACTTACTGCACTTGGTAAGCACCTGGGTGGGGTGGGTGGTTGGCTTTCACCACTTTAAACAAAGAGAGGCTCTTGCCCAGTATCCAAAAGGATTACTGCCTTGAGGAGTTGGCCCTACCCACAGAGTGCATAATTCCAGGGTACACTCCTATCCAGCAGATAACTTAGCTCCCTTCCAAAGGAGCAGGCGTGTGCTCGGGCACTGAGGGTACGGTGACTGATAACACAGACCTGTCCTGTAGGAGCTTTTTATCTGGTGGATGAAACAGACACATAAATAGACACCTGCTGTTTCCTTACCCAGTACAGTAGGGGGAGTACGGAGTGCTGTCTGAACTCCTGCTTTTGAGGAGGTGGGGTCAAGGAAGGCTGGCCGAGAGAACTGCTATCAAAGCGTACGTGTAAAAGCTGAGCAGGCGTTACCGGGTTAGTGGGGGAGGTTCCCTGGCAGCAGGAACAGCAAGTTCCAGCACCTAGAGTCAGGAAAGCAGCAGAAATCCAGATGGCTGCACACCGTGCAAGAAAAGAGTGAAGAGAAACAAAGCTGGAGGGAGAGGTAGGCAGGGTCCCATCTGGGGATAACAAGGGGGCCCTTCAGCCAGATGCGGGTGTTTGGATTCTGTCCTGAGGCAGTAGAGGCTGTGGAAGAGCTTTATACACTAGCTCCGTAAGTTCTTGCATCCTTCTCCAGCTGCTTCCTGTCAACCTTTTTGTCCCCAGGCTGCCTTCCAGCAATCTCAGTAGGTGCGTATATTTTCAGAGAATAAAATACATTTTTATATTAGGCTGAGCAAAACATACATAGGAAGATTAAGTCAACTGCAAAGTAATCGTGATACGTTGCAAATGCATAGAGGGATGTTTGGGTTGTGCTGTGGTGAGTTCCCACACGTCTGCATTCACCTCCAGCTGGGTGCACAGCCATATCTAGGGCGGTTCAGCCAAGGTAGCAGACCCTGCTTTGGAACGCTGTTTTATAGCTTGAAAATACAGGGACTTCTGCGCAAACGGAAACAGAATGATTTACGCTTTTAAGGCTTCATCCCTTAGTCCTCTGGCCTGAGGCTCACCTGGTCAGAGCTCTGTCCACAGGCCATGCTGCAGTGTCACCTTAGTGAAAGACATACATGTCTAGCCCCACTCGCACCCCAACTCCCCACCCTACACTCTGCCGAGATGCTTCAGAGAGAAAGAATACAGTAACCTCCTAACAACTGCAGATGTTGGTAGGCTGTACTGAGCTGGGTTTAATGACATCCCCCAGCTAACTCAGAGTGTGGGCTCACACCTGACTTTTTGGATTCTAATCACAGCCCTTCCAAATACTAGCAGTGTGACCTTGGAGCAAGTCACATAACCTCTCCAAACTTTGGTGTACTCACTCGTAAAATGGTACTCCTATATCCTGGAGTTCCCAAGAGGACCAATTAGAGATAATACGTATAAAATCCTTAGCATGATACCTAACACTATCAATACAAGTACTTGCTATATGGGAACTATTTGCTATTTTTTATGAAGTAGAGGACATGCATGTACACCACGTTGAGTCATAATTTCACTAGTATTTATATTATTATCACACACTCACTTTCAGACTTAGAATTTGACGTGTAATGAGGCTGAGAGGTTCACAGGAGGCGATCCTGTACAGTGGCCTTGGCTCAGCGGGCCAGTCTGACTGGGAACCTCTGGGGTCTCAGCTGACGGCAGTGCGTGTGTGCCCAGAGCACCGTCAGCAGCGCGGTAGCCTGCTCTATCCCACCCCTGCCCCTCTCGCCTCCAGACACCATGGTATGCACGGGCTGCTGCTCCTGCCTGGACCACATCGTGACATACCTCTTCAAGCAGCTGTCACGTAGCACCAAGAAGAGGACGACGCCCCTGAACCAGGAGAGTGACCGCTTCCTGCATATCATGCAGCAGCATCCGGAGATGATCCAGCAGGTGAGCGTGAGGGTTCTGAGGCAGTGAGGGGTGTCCCAGTGGAAGAGCCTCTCTATGGGGAGGGAGGGGTGGGGGGGGGCGGCAAGCAAGAGGATGAATCTAGTATCTCGCCAGAGTGATGCTGCCCAGGTGAAATTGCAATAGATTTTGAGTGTGCTGAGTAATCATTAGATTAGAAAATCTGAAACAAATCAGGTTCTGAATTGCTATGAGTGTCACACCAACCCCTGTGCTTTGGGCCTATCCCATGAACACTGTCTTCCTTCCATGGCAGTGACTCTCTCACCCGTGGCAGGAAACAGAGCATGAGTTGGCAGGATCCAGCCGTAAAGCTTGTACTCCCATTTGCAAAATAGGAAAAGAATGCCGGACAAAGAGAAATAAGCACACAGAGCTCAAACCATGTGTCACCATCACTTCATTTGCATGCAGTATCTTTCAAAAATAAGATTTGCAGAAATATACTAGATAAAAATAGATAAGGAAATGGAATTATTTCGATTTTAACCAATCTCACCCTTGTCTACATTGTTCTCTAAGGAATCAGTGATATAATTCACATTCCCCAAATGTTATAAAGCTATGTCCTCAGACAAGTGCAAGGAGCTATAGTGCAAGGTGATTTTGCACTAGAATCATTTGCTTGACCCATCCCAGTCCCCAAAACCCAAGTGAACTGGGAAGGTCCATTTTAAAATGGGTTATCAAACCAACTTAAAGAACAGGAAAGGAGATGTCTTAGAAGAAAAGCTTACCCTGTGATACAAAATGGAAGCTTCATAAAATACTTGGTTTACCCTGGACAGAAAAAGCCCATCACCCTAATAAACTCCTCTGTTAGGAATCTGTAATTCTATCTTGGGTAGCCACACACTAGGTCACTGCCTCAGATTCTCCTTTCTAGATGCTGTCAACGGTGCTGAACATCATCATCTTTGAAGACTGTAGGAACCAGTGGTCTATGTCTCGCCCCCTCCTTGGCTTGATACTACTTAATGAAAAGGTAAGAGAGCCTGCTGTCTGGGCCCAGAGCCAGGAGCTGGGGTTGGTGCGCAGTTTTCAGGGCACTGTGAGAAACGCTTACAGAAACATCCACGGTGGTGAAAGAGGGAAAACGGACCGTTGTCTAAGCATATCCTATTCGTCCTTTGAACAGCACAATCACTTAACCTGTTAGAAGTCAGCATGTGGCAGTTCAAAGGTAAAGGATGAGGAAGTGTTACAAGGAGAGAATATACCTGGAGGCCAGAGCACCTGCGACCTAAGTTCTGGTTTCAGCTCTGCCATAAACAAACCTAAGTAAGTTTAGAGATTCCTAGAGAAGAATCTGGATCAGGTGGCCCTGATAGTGCTCACAAACTTGAAATTCTTGATTGTTCAGTAAGATAAAGACGCAGTACCCTGCAGGTGCTTGCTTGAATTAAAAAAAAAAAAAAAGGCATCCAATTTTAGTAGATATTCCGTTCCTCCTTGGCGAAGAACACCTCTTAGACCCTGCAGATGAAGGAGGGCTAATCGGCCTTTCCCGTCTTCTCTCCTTACCCTGTATCACTCCTGGCCGCACAGTATTTTTCTGACCTAAGGAACAGTATCGTGAACAGCCAGCCACCGGAGAAGCAGCAGGCTATGCATCTGTGTTTCGAAAACCTGATGGAAGGCATAGAGCGAAATCTTCTAACAAAAAACAGAGACAGGTGAGTGTGGAGGGCCCTGCCAGGGAGTCCTAGGCAATTGTTGCTTTTCAAATCACTGCAACAAGGGCGCGTTTTTGTCTTTTAAAGGCCTTTTAAGCAGCACTGTCCAATAGAAAAGCAAGCCACATGAATAATTTTAAATTTTCTAAGTAGCCACATTAAAAAAAGTGAAAAAGAAACAGTAAATTCATTTTAATATATTTCATTTAACCCATTGTATCCAAAATATGTCAGTGTGTAATATTTAAAAATTAAGAATTGAAACAGTTTTATTGTACTAAGTCATCAGGATCCTGTTCAGATGCTAAATTTTCATCAGAAATACTTGATTTATATTTATATTTCATAAAATTTAGTTGACAAAGTAGATTCCCCTACTGAAGTTGTTCCAAACTTACTTAGAAGTCTCCAATAACTGAATTGAAAGTCATATTTTTCTAAATTAATTTTCATTAGTTTAAAATACAGCATTTTAATTTACAGTGGCGTGTGTGGCTGGGGACTACCATATCTGCCAGCACAGCTCTGTACCAGAGCCTCTTGGCATTAAAAAATGAAGTAGCTTCATCCTCTTCCTTTGTGAAGGTTACTTCCTGCCTCTGTCAGTAGTATTCCTTTTGTGCTGCCATCAACCCAAGGGGGGCCTCAGACCCCCAGATCTGACCAGATCTCGAGGCCTGCCACGAAGTTATCAAGTAGAACGGGGGAGAGAACTAACCCAATTTTCCCATTTACTGACCTTAGAAACAGAACCCACCAATTCATACATTCTGCCTGTGCCCCTTGTCTGCTAGAAACGTTTTAGGCCGAGACCTTCCCCTTCCACCCTACTCCCCCAACCTACATGCGTCCTCTCTTAGGTTCACCCAGAACCTGTCAGCATTCCGTCGAGAAGTCAACGACTCGATGAAGAACTCCACTTACGGCGTGAATAGCAATGATATGATGAGCTGACACCTCCTTGGACTCTACTTGTACAGAGCAGCGTCCCTTTGGTCTGGCTCAGAGGGGCGAACAATTACACGGGAGAGAGCCTGGCTGATCCTGGCTCCCTCCTCCAGGGGTGTGGGGAACATGGCACAGGTCAGCTAGCTGTTTCCCCAGGGAATAGGGGTGTGAGTGCACTCACTCGGGGGCAGGGCGCTGCTGGTTCTTGGGGGATGGGGTGGGAAGGGTGGTGGGAGGAGATAGAGACACAATACGTGAGACTCCAGCCCCCTCTCCTGGGGCCACCCAAAGGGGGAGAACCCCCGGTGTCCTGCCACAACCTGCCTTGTATAAACATGTACATTTTTTCATAACATTTTGAACAAGGTTTATATTGACTCAAGTTTAAAAACAAAAAGTGTGACTGAAAAATTTTTACAGAGTCTAGTGCACCAATGCTGATGTGAGGGGTTGTGTATGCGAGTGAGGAAAAAAATGTGTATTCTGGTGGCCTGAAGCTTTACTGGACGAGGATGTGTGAACGTGCAGAGATATATTTAGTGACACAGTGTAGAGAGGCAAAAAAAAAAAAAAAGTAAAAATTCCAAATGTATATTTTTTCTTATTGCCCTTTCCTTGCCCCCAAATTATCACTTCCTATTACTGTATTTCCCTTGTTATTAGGAACTCTAAGCCATGCGGAGCACCATCCCCCCCTGCAAGCATAGATGCTGCCCTAGGTCACTTGGCCTCTTGCAGTGACAGACAACTCCAGCTAAGTGTTTGGTATTCTTAGCTTCATCCTTTCTCCCACTTTGCTTACCCTCATCCTCAGACAGATGCCTCTTGCTTTTAAAAGTCGGATATAACTATGAATTAGGGTTCTTGGTCTCTGTCAAGGTAGAGACCCGAGAGAAGAGATGGAGCCAGTTGCTCTCCTCTGGAGCTATCTGGATGAGTCCACCAGAGGCCCGACTGCGTGTGGCCAATAACTTTGTCTTCCCCAGCCCTTGAGGCAGCGTGTGTGGATGTGCGCGTGTGGATATTTATATATGTACCCTGCACTCATGAATGTATGAACTGGAGGAAGTGATTACAGTGGAGGGGTTCTTAATAACAAGGTCTGCCTAGCATGAAGTATTTAACATTCGCCCGCCCCCTTAAAAATATACATTTTTATAAAATGAAAACCATAATAAATGTTTTGAATATTTAAAAAAAAATTAACCTACAGAGGAAAATTAATGGAGAAAGCTATTTGCCTTGTACTTTTTCCACAATTGTTGCTGCTAGTTGTACGCATCTCTAGTTCAGCTCTTGCCCATGGGACACTCATCAATTAGGTTTTATTTTTATTTCTCTCCTCTACCCCCAGAAACAAGCCTATTAATTTTTCCTTCCTTCTCCTCTGGCGACTGTGTGGTGAATCCTTTCTTGCGTGATCAGGTTGCGGATAGACTTGTAAGGGTGTTTGCTGCATACAGTGTAAGCATTGTGACCGCCAATAAACTTCAATGGTTTCTACTGACCTGGTTTCAGCAATCAAGTCTAGTGTGTCTACAGGGCCTTGTCTCACTCTAAACACATGAAGATGTTTAAAACCTGCATTCTTAAAAGCCAGTGAATGACAGGGACCCCTCAACCTTGTAAAATTACCTTCTCATTGGACTAGGTCTGACTGAAAGTATGATTGGTTTAGTTGATACACACACAATACAATTTAATAATCTGCTGTAAAGACTTTATTACATTTTTTCATAACGTTTTGAACAAGATTTACATTGACTCAAGCTAAAAAACAAAAGTGACTGAAAAGTGTCTACAGAGTCTGGTGAACCAATGCTAATGTGAGGGGTTTGTGTATGTGAGTGAAGAAAAACTGTATATTCACACATATATGCTGTTGTCCACAACTATAAAAATGGTCACTCCACCTCTTTGCTAGCTTCCAGGTAATATGGCAATCAGCAGAGAAGTGATATTTGCAGAAAGTCCAGTTTTGTTAATGGGCTGACATCTCCTCTAATGTGGATTAGACCCTGACAAGTTCAAAGATACAATGTTAGTTCCTACAATACTTTGCAGAACTCATGGGCCAGAATTATCAAATGAAGAACACTATAGTTAACAGGGACTACTTCTCATCCCCATGCTACGTTGTACCTAGGTATTAGGGGACATAAACGCTGGAACACTGAAAAGTATTAGGGCACAGATAGGAATCTTACCTTGATACAGATACATATCCAATGTAATCACAGACAAGAGCGCCCCTCTTGTCTAGATGGACTTCTGCCTTTGTCTGCCCTCTTCTGGGCGCCATCTTGGTCCCAAGTTACTTCAAAGGCCAAAAATTGTATCCTAATGACTAGAAGTCAGATAGCAGTGATTCATCTTAGCCAACTCTGTCTCTAAGCCTAATGATAACAAAATGCTCGGGCTTCCTTAATATGCAAAACACTCCAGTCACATTACCCCAGTGACCTGGTATTCTAATTCTGTAGTAAATAAGACAAAAAAATTTCTCACAAGTACCTGAAGAGACCCCCTCCCTCTTCCTCAACTATCCTGAGATGCTGACTGATCAGCAAAACCAGACCCCTCCCCTTCTACAAAAATGATTTCAGGAGCAAGAAACTGCACCAGAGGTAGTGGTCTCCTCAATGTGGCCCAAGGGCAGTCCAGTCATGACAAAGTGCCATAGTTAAACTCGTCCACCACCACATAAAGTTTTTAAACAGTGAAGCTGTTTCTTTCTTGTTTGACAGTTACAAGAGGGGACAGCCAAAAAAGTGGCCTTTTTTCCTGGTCAGTTAACTTCACATGATTCAATCTAATAAATGTGAATGCCAGTTATCTTTAAACTTTGGTTTCCCCAAGAAATCATGTGGAGGTTTTATTCAGTTAAAATGAGTTCATTAGTTTCTCAGCTATCCTGGGCACTATGGTCATCAAGTCAAGTGCTTTAGACAGTGTTACTTGACACACTTAGACTTTGCAATGAGAAAACACCTCAAGTCTTCACTGCAGATTATTAAATTGTATGCATGTATGTATTTGTTGGCTCTGCTCATGTAAGGATTATCTACTCTCACTAAAGAATGAATCAGACAAAGGAAGAAGAGATTTGGCTCAGGGTCAGATTTTAGGTTTTTGTCATTCAAGGAGTAAGGACTTTCAGGTAAGTGTCACCTTTCCAATGACAAGTGACAACCTACTAAGAAGTAATAGTTTTATATTCTGCAAGCATGAGCTTATTCTTAAGAACTTGTTTTTTAACCCTCAAGTAGAAAAATGTTCTAGTACCTTAGGAAATTTCAACCAAGTGTAGAAACAGACCACCTTCCAAAGTATCTGTGATCACTGGGAACAAATTGAATCTAGAGAGCCAAAACACTTCTATATTCTATCTGCCACCAGCCAACCCTCCCCCCACCCAAGATTTTTGGCCAAATCTACAAACCTGTGTTGCCATGTATTGCTGCCCAAGTGCCAAAGCAAAAAAGGAGAGCAAAGATAATTACAGAGAACCTGCAAAAACCATAAATCTGATAGCAAGGCCTTGAAAAATATAAATGTTTACAACTATCTAAAAGTACTACTTCTTTAAATATTTTAAAAATGAATTTGAAAGGATAAAAATTACTCACCAGCCACAATTAGTACAACTGCCAGTTAGGTGCTAATTAATGTTTAAGAGGATTCTTGCTTCTGGAGCTTATCCCTGAGTTCTATTACACCTATCCTGCGCTTCTGATACCCTGGAATTCACTGGTCAACCACTTTGGTGTGTGTCAGGAGCAGTGGGTCAACTAAACAAATCAGCTGTTAGACAGTGGGACATTAGATGATCAGAATGGAGGACAGAATCAAGCTCGGAATATTCTTCCTCAGAAAACCCTTAGAGTTTTCAGGACAGGCTGACTGCTGCTATCTCATTCATCAAATACTTAGCATCCACTATAGGCCAAATACCTTTTTGACAGTAAGTGACCAAAAAGGAAACAAAAGAAAAGCAAAAAACATCATTTGCAAGGCAAATTAATTGCCATTCTTGTGTAAGATTCCCTCACCAGTACAAACTAAATCCAAAACACTGTGAACAGTACTTAAGCGCTATACACCATTACCGTATTTTGCCATGTATAATGCCCAAACTTTCAGGGAAATGGAATTAGTACTACCCATGTGTAATGTGTATCCTTATTTTTCCCTCACAAATTTGGTCCAAAAAAGTGTGTGTTATACATGGCAAAATACAGTATTCAAATTCTGCTTGATAACCGTGAAGACAGAAACTCATAACAGACTTAAGTATACAGCCTCACCCACATGGCCCAAACCATCCCACTAGGTTACAAAGGATTAAATAGTGACAAGTGAGGAATCTTAATCCCAGCCAAAGGATACCAAATTAAATATGTCTGGACTTAAGGTGTGGAGGACAACCAAACCCAGGATGACAACTGATTAACTGGACAACAGATTTTGCCTTATGTAAAGCTCAGAGGGGCCACTGTACAGACTGATGGTAAAAAGGTGGGCAAATTGTAAGAGCAGCAGTCTCAAAGTCAGAAAACCCAAGCCATCTCCCCTCAGCTCTGAAAGACTGATTATATTATGCAATGAAGGTAAAGCATCCTCTTTAGGAATATAACAGGCCGTTATCCTTTCTATTTATCAGAAAACCAATTCCCCAGCCTTTAACAGCTTGTATTCTGGGACTCCTCAAAAAGCAAATCAAGTTATAAACTACCAGCCAAGCTACAAATGCAGTAGTGGAACCCTTCAAGTCAGCTGGACAGTTGCCCCTGCCATCTCTGTCTCCCCATCCTACTTCATGCCTTTTTCTTTCAGTATCCTTTTTATTTTATTTTTTTTTTACAGATTTTTATTGGGGAATTAGGGGGATGGGAACAGTGCTGGGGAATTGGGGGAAGGGGAACAGACAAGTTGCTGTCATTTTGTTCTTCAGTCTAGTTGTGGAGGACGCTGCTTCACTGGCCCAAGTTGGCACCATCATTGCGCTCTTCCCAGGCAAGGCAGATCAGTCGCCGGCTTCTGGACAGCCGCTCACTGCGGCTGCTGGCCGCTCACGCTGGCTGCTGGCCACACACGGTAGCCCATGGCAACCCACTGCCACAGGGGCTGCAGCCTAGGCGACTCACAGCAGCCCAGCTCCAGGTTGAGCTGTTGCTCAGCATCTTAGCTGTAGAGGGCAGTGTCACTGTCGCCCACATGTGGGATCCGAACCGGGGCCCTCTGGCGTCCCAAGCCAGTTCTTAACCATCGCGCCACTCGGCTGCCCTTCATGCCTTTTTCTGATCTGCAGAACTCTATTCAGTCTAGACTTGCATGCCTTTTGCCCACCTACCCTTTTCAACAGCCGCACTTCCTTCTCTGAAGTCTCCCCTACAATATCTGAGGTAGTCTTTACCCCACTCTCTCCCCATCTCAGCAACCAAAATGTGCTCCTTACGTCCTGGGACCAGATGAAAAAGATCATGATGGATGAAAAGGATGTGTATCTGGGATGTATGTAGAGTCTGCAAAAAATGCTAGCTAGAGGGTGGAAAGTAGTTGGACCTAATTTGGGTGAAGCCCCTGCAGAGAGAGCTCAGGTGGCCTGGTTTGGGCGGGTTAAACACTCGTGGCCATAGCATCCACAGAAAGGAAAAGAGCAGAGGCCCCGACCCTGCGAAGGAAGGACGGAAAGAGTTCACCCCTGCCCCGGCACGGCTTCGCGACACGCCGTCGTGCCCCGGAAGTAGTTCTGAGCTTTTCTGCTGTCCCCGCGACATCTGTATACACAGTCCGGCTCCAAACGAGTGTCCTCTCCTGCTGTCGCTCGCCCCGCCTCCGCCATGCGCAGGCGCAGTTCTGACTCCGTGCGCTGACCCGCCGGTAGTTTGGCGGCTGGGAAGACGGCGGGACTGCTAGGTGGCTGCGGGAGCGCTCTTGGGGAAGGCCCGCGTTGGGCTGCTGGGCCGTCGGACCCCCACCGAGTTGTGTGCCCGGTAGAAGTTCGAGTTCACACGCACCGTGACCTCACACCCAGTATCCGCAGTGGTGGTCACAGAGTCACTCAGTGTTCAAGGACTTCCTGCTGGGAAGAACTCAGTGGAGTGGACAGGCTGAAAAGGATGATCATCACACGGCCCAGTGTGCTCTGGGAGTACAAAGGAAGAACCCCCAAGGGGAGTCTGAGCAGAACAAGCAGTCGGAAGAAGGCAAGGAAAAACACTCTCGGATTGCAAAAACACTGAGGCATGAAACGTCTTGTACCTTTGGAGGAGGTGCAAAAATAGCATGGCTGGAGAGACAGTGCAGCCTATTATACGTTGTCTGGTGGGAGGGACCCAAGAGGTTGGGATTTGATCCTAAAAGCTTTAAGTTTCCATCAAAGGCCACTTTGCAAAGCAGTCTAGTGACTAATCTTTGTTTAATCTACCAGCTAGTGGATAAAAAGGATTTGAACCAAGACAAGGGCTGTGAGGAGAGAGTTGAGACATATTGGGGATGGGGGAGTAGAATCAACAGGATTTTATGACCAATTGGATGTGGAGAGTAAAGGGACGAGGATTCCAGAATGACTCCCAGGTTCCAAAATAGAGCAGCAACTGAGTGACGACAGAGGAAGCATGGAACAGTAAGGAGATGAGGACAGAGTACTTTGTGCCAGGAAGACTTCCTTGCTCTTGCAGGCAGAATACCTGAAGTTGCACGTAGGTACACACACACACACACACACACACACACACACACACACACACACATAAATCAGAAAATAGAAGAGGAGGGAACACTTCCCAATCATCTTATGAAACAAGGATTTATTTCCCTGACACCAAAACCCTGATAGACAGACATTAAAACAAAACACCTTTATACTAATATCCCTCATGAACATAAATGCAAAAATTCTTACCAAAATATAGGAATACATAAAAAGGATATCATGACAAAGTGGGATTGATCCTAGGAATACAAGGCTGGTTTAACATTCAATAAATCAATAAATGCAATTCACCATATAAACAAAGGAGAAAAGGCTGGTTCTCTCAAGATGAAGAAAAAGCACATCACAAAAAACACCCATTTTTGATAAAAATTCTCAGCAAACTAGGACTAGAGAGAAACATCTGTTAAAAGACATCTGGAAAAACCTACCAATAACATACTTAAAGGTGAAAGACTGAATGTTTCCCCTTAGGTCAAGAACAAGGAAAGGATGCCCACTCTTAACATTTCTACTCAACATTGTACCTCAACATTCACCAGAGCAAATAGGCACAAAAAAGAAAAGGCACACAGATCAAAAAAGAAGTAAAACTGTCTTTATTCCCAGATGTCATGATTTGGGGTACAAATAGCTACTGAAACTAATAAGTGAATTCAGCAAAGTCACAGAATACAAGGTCAATATACAAAAACCAGTTGTATTTCTAGATACTAAAAATAAACTATTAAAAGATGAAATTTATATATACTGTTGTTAAAACATCTGAAACCATGAAATACATAGGAATAAATTTAACAGGATACGTTCCAAACCTGTACACTAAAATCTATAAAACATTGTTGAGGAAAATTAAAGATCTAGATAAATGGAGCGATTATAGCATGTTCATGGATTGAATGGCTCAAAATTGTGATATCAGTTCTCCCCAAATAGTACTATGCATTCAACAAAATCCCAGTAAAAATCCCCAAAGCCTTGTCTGTAGAAATTGACAAGCTGATTCTAAAATTTATATAAAAATGTAAAGAATCTATAATACCTAAAGTATTTTTCAAAAAAACAGAGTTGGAGGACTCAACTCCCTGATTTCAAGATTTACTAAAATAGTATAGCAATCAAGAATGTGGTATTGGCACTAGGGTAGATAGATAGATCAATGGAACAGTATAAAGTCCAAAAATAGACTGACTTACATGGCTAATTGGTTTTTGACAAAAATGCCAAGATGATCCAATAGAGAAAGGATAGCCTTTTTTCAAAAATGGTGCTAGAAAAACAGGATATCCTCTTGTAGGGGGAAAAAAATGAACCTCGACTCTGATCTAACACTGTCACAAAAATTAACTTCAAATGGATTCCTGATGTAAAAGTGTAAGCTAAAACTACAAGACTACTAGAAAAAACGTAAGCGAAAACTTTCACCACCTTAAGTTAAGCAAAGATTTCTTAAAACATCAAAAGCATGAGCCATAAAATAAAATAATTATTGGACTTCGTCAAATGTTTAAATTTCTGTTCTTCAAAAGATACCATTTTTAAAAATGAAAAAAACAAGCTATAGACAGGAGTAAAAATGTCTTTGAAATGCATATATTTGATACAGAACAGGTATCCAAGATATATAAACAACTCAACAAACACTTGAAAAGATGCTCAACATCACTTGTCATCAAATAAAAACACAAGAGATGTCACTATATACATCTGCCAGAACAGCTAAAATTAGGAAGACTGACAATTCTAAGTATTAATAAAGATGTAGTGCAACTGGATTCTCATACATTGCTGGTAGAAATGTAAAATGGAATTTGGAACATAGTTTTATAGTTTCACGTAAAGTTTAATATATGCTGACCAAATAATCCAGCAATTCCACTCCTCGATATTTAGCCAAGAAAAACTAAAACGTATGTCCATGCAAAAACTTGCTCTCAGATAGTCATAGCATTTTTATTCACGATAGTCTAAAACTGGAAGCCACCCCAATATCCATCAATAGGTGTATCAGTCAGGGACATATGACAAGGAATTGGCTTATGCAATTACGGAAACTGGCTAGGCAAGTCTAAAATCTGTAGGGCAGGTCATCAAAAGGGCAAGCTGGAAGTTCTCTGGCAGGAGCTGAAGCTGTCGTCCACAGACTGAACTTCTTCAGGGAAATTACATCTATAAAATACCTTCACAGCCACATCTATGTTAGTGTTTGATTCAATAACTGGGTACAATAGCCTAGCCCAGTTGACACAAGTTGATAATTTACCAGCAGGTGACTGGATATGCAAAGTGTGGACTACTACTCAACAATAAACAGAAACAAAAGACTGATACAAGCAACAATATGGATAAATAAGTCCCAAACGCATTTTGTTCAGCAAAAGAGGGCAGACAAAAAGACCCTGTATTATTCTGCTTATAGTGTGAAATTCTAGACTAGTCCATATCAATCTAGAAAGCAGGTATTTGCCTAATGCTAATTAGGCATCAAGAGGAGATGGACTGCAAAGGGAACAAGAAAATTTGAGGGAGTGATGGAAATTATAACTTGACTGTGGTGATGGCTACACAGGTATGTACATTTGTCAAAAATCATCACATTCTACACTGTGAGTGCATTTTTGTATATAGATTATTTTTCAATAAAGTGAACATTTTAAAAAGAAAAAAAAAACCCCACTGATTCCTGCACAGCAGAAGCTCCAATCAGGGTTCCAGAGGAAGAGATACCCAGTTATATCCCCCAGCACCATTTTTGGAAGACTATCCTTTCCCGATTGAATTATCTTGGCACCTTTGTTGAAAATCAGTGAACCTTATATGTGGATGCGAAGTTTCCAGGATAGGAGTGAAGGACGAGAATACAATAGCAGAGATCCCCAGTTATTTCTGACTCCCAAACAGAGGTGTCTCACAAGCAGGAGGAGGGGTGTGTCAGCGGAAAAGCCGCCTCCTCTCACTACTCTACCCAACCATAGAAGTGCATCCCTGTGCGCTGTGAACTGCAGCCTGTGAAGCGACGGGCCCTGGTGAAGTCACTCATTGGATTCCTCACCAGCTGCTGCAGCTGCCTCTTGGTCACCTTCCTCATGCCCACCCCTTCCTAGTCACGGGACAAATCATCCTTCTAGAAACAGGGCTCTCCTGTCTGGGGACCACAGTCCTGGCACACTCTGGGGGAGGGACAGGGCAGGAAGAAAGGCGGTGAGCACACAGGAGCACGAATGCTGCTGCTTTCTCCTGGTGGCAAAGCCTCTCCAAGCGAGGCGGCCTGGCGCTGGAGGCCCCAGTAAGTGCCGGTAGGGGAGAGTGTGGTCCCGGAGCCTCAGCACCCACCTCACCTGGGAACGGTTAGAAATGCAAATGTTCTTGGCCCCAGCCAGACGTGCTCTATGGGAAACGGGCGGCGAGGCCTGTAGCACGTGCGTTTTAACAGGCCCTCCAGGTGCTTCTAAGGCACGGAGAAGGAAAGGACTGCGCAACGGGGCTGAAGAGAAGGGCCCCTCCTTTAGGGCTGATTAGACACCGCCGGTGCCCTTCGCAAGCCTCATAACAGCTGCTGCGGGCGGGCCTGGCTGAGGCCTGGTGAGGTCGGCGTGAGAGCCCCGCGGGAGCGCTCCGAGGACCTGTCCGGGGTGGAACCCGCGCCCACTGAGCAGCCACAGTGAGGGCAAGGGGACCGAGGGCTGGTCCCTCCCCAAGGCCTCTGCCCAGATCCCAGCCCGGATCTGAGCCGCCCGCGCGGCTTCACCTCACTGGGCGACCCTCCGCAGCGCACTGCCCGTTCCCCCGCCCAGCGCGCCATGAACCGCAGCCGCATCAGCAGCAGCCCGGACAAGGCAGGAACTGTCACGCTCTGGGGTGAGTGAGGACCCGGGTGCTGGGGGCTTGTCCCCCAGGTGAGGGCTGCCTGGAGGAAGGGGCGTCTCCCCTGAGCCGCCGCCTCCTTCCCTCCCTCCATCTCCTTTTCCAGGCTGTGAGCTAAACCAGGAGAAGCGGACCTGGAGCTTCAAACCGCAGAAGGGGGGGAAGCAAGACTGTAAGGTGTTGCTCTGTACGGTGGGTGTCCCCCCAAGGTGGGGAGGAGGTGCCGCTAGGGAGGAGCAAGGGGTGTCTGTGGTCCCGACGGGTGCAGCCGGGTTTCCCTCCTCTGTCCTCGGGTGATGAGGTGCCCTGCCTGTGGTCAACCCTCTCAGATTTGCTTGGGGGAGAAGGCCAAAGACGAGATGAACCTCGTGGAGATCCTGCCCTCAGCAGGCCAGGACGACAAGAGGGCGAAGCCCGTCACCGTCGCCTCGCTGCAGGCCTCCGTCCTACCCATGGTGAGCCTTTCCCTGCGGCCCCGGAGCACTGCCTGCTCAGGCCTGGGGGGCCTTGCTCGGGCCGCACCCACATGTCCACGTGGGCATGGACACAGCCCACGGGGATGCAGGCGTCCTGCAGCAGCAGAGCCATGCTACAGAGGAGACAGAGCCCATGGCTAAAAGCCTGGAGCTCGGCAGGCAGACGGCCCCACTTGCTACCCAGCCCACCCTTTACTAGCTGTGTGATCTTGAGCTAGTTATTATAAATAACCTCTTTTCAAAAGCACAGTGTTAAACCGTTTACTGCTGGTGACAGGTCACTGTTGATGACTTACATATTGATTGTGTATCCAGACATTCTTATATCTAATAATTTGAGTGTTCTAATGCAAATCATTGTTTGTGGAAAAAGGCATTTTTTTTTTAATCCTACGACACTGGCTAGGACCTCCAGTATAATACTGGATAAAATGATAATGGTAGATGTCTTTGTTCCATCCTTGATTTTTATTTATTTTTTTTATTTTTTAAGGAATGCTTCTAATGTTTCTCCATTAAGCATGACCGATTTGGTAGATGCCCTTTGTCATCTTCAGGAAGTCCCCATCTAGTCTACTCTGCTTTTAAAATTGGGTTTTCTTCTTTTTAATCATTAATGGTTATCAAATGCTGTTGTATTCAAATGATCTTGGATTCTTTTCTTCTTTAATCTGTTAAGTGGTAAATTATATTAATAGAATAATAGTCAGCCAACTTGGCATTCCTGAGATAAACACTACTTGATCGTATTATAAATTTCCAGTTTTATATATTTGTTAATATATTAAGATTTTTAACTTATATACTCATAAATGAAGTTGGCCTATATAGTCCTTATCTTATTCGGGTATCGAGGCATACTAGCCTCAAGAACCGACAGATGGAGTATTCTCTCCTTCTGTGTGCTGGAACATAGAATATAAGGCCAGGATTATCTGTCTTTGAAGACCTGGGAGTCTGATCTTGTAAAACTTACCCTCAAACCTATTTTTTTTCTCGATGAGATCTCCCTAGATCTCATCCATTCCCATAGGTTTAAAGACCATCTATACAAATGAAAACTGAAATTTTTTCTGTAAATCCAACCTCTTTTGTGCTCCACACCCTCTGTCCAACTGAATATATTTAATAGCTATCCCAAACTTAACAAATCTAAATCCAAATTCTTGATTTTTATCTATAATCTCTCCCCCCACCCCCAAACCTGATCCTTTCCCAGTAAATAGTTTATCTTCCAATTCATCAGGAAAAAAAAACCTCCTTTCTAACACCCCATACCTGAACCACCAGCAAATCCTGTTGACTCTACCTTCACAATATACACCAATGTGACCACATCTCGCCACCTCCCTGCTACACCTGGTCTAGGCGACCATCACTTCTTGTTCTATTTTATTGCACAGCCTCCTAACTGATCTACCTGCCTTCACCCTTGGTTCCCTATAGTCTTTTCCAGGGATTAACCAGCTGCAGGATTAAATCCAGCCCACTGCCTGTTTTTGTAAATAAAGTTTTACTGAAACACAGCCACACTCCTTCATTAATATATTATCCATGGCTGCGTTCACTTGGTAACAGCAGAGTTGAGTAGTCTTCACAGAGACCATATGGTTTACAAGCCTGAAATATTTACCATCTGGCCCTTTACAGAAAAAGCTCTCCAACTTCTGGTCTATTCTATACACAGCTTCCAGGAAGATCCTTTTAAACAAGCATCAGGACTCGTTGCTTCTCTGCCAGAACACTTAGGTCAATGGCTTCCCATTTCATGAAGAATGAGACCCAAGATGGTGTATGTTCTGGCCCTCCACACCCTCTCTGACCTCAGCCTTTGCCACTCTCCCCTCCCTGAAACTGCTCAGACCGCACTGGCTTCCCCTACTGTGCCTTGAAAACCCCGAACACCCCTCTCCTCGATCCTTACATGTACTCTTCCCTATGCCAGGGACATGCCTGCCCCCCACTTCCATCCAGTTTTTGTTCAAACGTCAGCTCATCGAAGAGGTCGTCCCTGACCGCAAACAGCATCCCCTCCTCCTTCCCCACCCATCATCACCTTTCTCCCATTGGACCCATCACGGGCATCAGTTTTCATTTGTGCATTCTTTCTCCGCAACCAGAGTATAAACCCCAAGAGAGCAAGGACTTGGCCTTTTTTATCTGCTGCATTACCCACACGGCCTGTGTAATAGTGCCTGGCACACTCAATATATGATGCAGTGAGTAAATAAGCAAATGAGCTACGTGGGGCTGGTTTGATTTTAAGTTACTGTAATTTATTTAATAGTTTTTTATCTACTCAGAAGTCTAGTTCTTTGAGTCAGTTGTTTGTTTGTTTTTTACCAGATTTATTGAGATATAATTTAGGCCAATAAGATTCATCATTGGTTAAGTATACAACTTGATGCATTTGACAAATGGATATAATTGTGTAACTACTACTACAGTCAAGCCTCTTTGCAGTCAATCCCTTCCACCTACCACTGCATCTGGCAGCCATTGACCTACTTTGTCAATGCAGTTTTGCCTTTCCTAGAATTTCATTTAAATGGAATCATGCAATACAGTCTTTTCTGCCAGCTTTTTTCACTTAGCACAATGCTTTTGAGATGTAGCCATGTTGTTTGGTGAGACAGCAACGTGCTCCTGTTTTATGTCTGAGTGATGTCCCATTCTGCAAATAGGTATATATACACCAAGTTTTATCTACCTGTTAATGGAAATCACTTGGGTCGTTTCCAACTTTATACTATTATGAATACAGCGCTATGAACGTTTGAGTGTACGTATTTATATGGACCTGTGTTTTCATTCCTCTTGAGTGAAAACCTAGCAGTGGAACTGCTGGGTCATAAAGTAAGCGTAAGTCAAACTTTATGCAAAAGTGTCAAACTGCTGTACCACTTTGCCTTCCTACCAGCAATGTCTGAGTCTTCCAGTTTCTCCCCATCCTTCCCAACATTTGTTATTGTAAATTTTCATCAGTCATCTTAGGGGGTGTGAACTGCTTGCTCAGTGTTTTCCGAATGACTAATGATGTTGAGCATCTCTTCATGGGCTTATTGGCCATTTCTGTATCTTGTTTTGAGAACTACCTAGTCTTTATTCATCCTACAAATGGTGATAGGTACTGTTTTTATTTTTATTCAGTTCAAATCATATTATAGTTTCCTCCTTCAGGCCCTGGGGTATTTAAAAGTATGTGTTTTTTTACATTTCCAAACAATAGGGATTTTCTAAGATTCTTTCTTTAATTGACTTCTAGTTTGATTCTTTTGTGATCTGAGAACACGCTCTATATTATTTCAGTCTAAACTGTGTTGTGACTTGTGACCTATAACATGTTCTTTCTTGGTGAATATCTCATTTACACATGAAGAGTGTGTGTTCTGTTGTTGGGTGTATTTCTCTGTAAATGTCCATTATATCAAGTTGCTTGGTAGTTCTGTTTTGTGTCTTTATTCATTTTCTGTCTACTGAATCTGTTAATTACTGAGAGATGGGTGTTTAAGTCTTCAACAATAACTGTGGCTTTGTTTCTCCTTTCAATTATTGGTTTTTACTTCATGTATTTTGAAGCTCTTATTAGACATGTACACTTCTAGGATGGCAATATCTTCGTTAACTGATCCCTTTATCGTTCTGAAATGTCTCTCTTTATCCCTGGTAAATATTCTGAAGCCTATTTAGTCTGATTAATATAGTCAATCTAGTGCTTTATGATTAGTGTTTGTATGGTATGTTTTTCCAGTTATTTTCTTTTGTTATCATTTTATATTTAACCTTTGTATCTTTATATATACAGTAGGTTTCTTTTAGTAATTGAGTCTTTTATCCGATCTGCTAATCTCTGCCTTTTAATTAAAAGTATCTAAACTGTTAATATTTAATGTAATTATCAACAGGATTGGGATTAACTCGATTATCTTGCTATTTGTTTTCCTATTTGCCCCATTTATGTTCCTTTCTTTTTCTTTTTTGACCTCCTTTTGGATTAACTAAGTGGTTTTTATGATTATATTTTCATCTCCACTATTAGCTTCTTAGCTTTCCTTCATCTCTTTGTTATTTTTTTAGTGGTTGCTCTAGAGTTTATAATATGCATCTTTGACTTACAACAGTCTATATTTAAACACTATTATACCAATTCATGTATGATGTGAGAATCTTACTACAGTGTACTTCATTTCCCATCCTTTGTGCTGTTGTTGTAATAACTTTTGCTTCTACATATGCCGTAAATCCTACACTACATTGTGATTGCCTTTGTTTTAAACAGTCAATGTTTTTAAAAGATTAAGAATTAGAATAAAACGTTTTTATATTTACCATTTCTGGTACTCTTCATTCCTGTGTGTAGATTCAAATTTCCATTTGGTATCATTTCCTTCTGCCTGAAGGACTTAAACTTATTCCTTGTAATGCAGATCTGCTTGTAATGAACTCTTTCAGCTTTTGTTATGTCTGAAAAGTCCTAATTTCACTTTAGCTTTGAAAGGTATTTCACTGGGTTGAATTTGTTTTTGTTTGTTTGTTTGTTTTTCCTTTCAACACTTGAAAAACATTGCTAGTAGATTTCTCCAAACATAGCTTGCATAATTTGGAGAAATCTAGCATCTTTGTCTTTACTCTGTATGTAATGTCATTTTTCCTCTGAGTGCTTTTAAGATTTTCTCCTTATTGTTGATTTTGAGCAATTCGATTATGAAATGCCTTGAGGTTCATTGAATTTCTTAGATATTTGTTTTTATCAAATTTGGACATTTTGGGGGCCATTATTTTTTCAAATATTTTTTTCTGCTTTCCCTTCTTATCTCCATTGGGGAATCCAATCACATGCATAGTTGGCTCCTTAAAGTTGTCCCAAAGTTTGTTGATGCTCTGTTGATTTTCTGAAAGTATTTTTCCTCTCTATTTCATTTTGGATAGTCTTTATTTATTCAGTATCATTAGTCCTTTCTTCTGCAGTATCTAATTTG